TGGGAATGTCCGCTGTCCAGGCCTGACCCAGTTTGTGACTATCTTGCCCTTTAGTCTCATTATGCAAGAGTGCCATTATAGGTATTTTTTGTTAGCAGAATGTCTCTTTGAACAGCCTTTTTAATGTTACACTTAGGTTTCCTAAATACTGAGGATAAAGTTGTATTAATTTTTAGAAAACAGAATAGTGTGCGACATTCTTAAGAAGAAAGAAAACAAAACCCCCATTTTTGTAGGGGTTTTCAAGCACCCCTGTGGCTGCTTTTATGGATATTACTTAACAGAAAAATTTTGTAAGCCTAAGCTCCTCCATCACAATTAACAAGGTAAACTCTAGAGAAAACAGGAATTATGATTATGCCTGGAAAAAGCCTGTAAAATGTCATCTCAGCTCATTAAGACCCCATTAGCAGATATTTGACTGTATTTCATAGGAAAAACTCGTTTTGCATTTGGCATTTCTTCCTGCCATTGGATTTTGGACTGCACCTCTAAATATTTTGTTTTCTCTGTACTCTTTGTATTTGCTTCATATGACTTTGTAATTTAGTGAAACAAATGACGGGGGGAATACTTCATCTTCTAACAAAATGGTAAAAAAGCATTAACTCTTTATTTTCAAATCTTTTTATATCTGTGTTTGTTTGTTTGAAAGTTGTTTATGTAGGCATTAGAGTAGATATTTTATAAACAGGAGATATTTTAAAACTTAATGTTAAAATCAGCAGTTTTAACTGCTTTTTCCATTGTTGGTTTTTGTTTAAGCCTGGGTCGGGATGTGAGTCTGCTTTAGGTTCTGACATGCATCGAGTAAAAGCATTTCTTCATCAAACCCTGTTAATATTGCCTTAAAAATTTTAAATCATTATTTTAAAAATGCTGCATTAGAATTTACTGATGCATATTCAGATTTACAGAGTTTTAGCGTTCATCTTTGCTATTTTTCCTGTTTAGTTTTCCTTGTGCGTTTGACCTCGTAATAATGTAAAACAAATACTATGAAAGCTATTTAAACCCTTAAGTTACAGGGCTGTAAAAAAAAAAATTTAAGTTGCTTGAGTGAGCATAATTATTGTGATTTTTATAATACAAACAACTAGTAGTAATGACCTCTATCGTACTGTGCATCTGTGACAAGGTAAAGAAGAAAAAAATATATGAACCCCATTGCAGATTTGAGTGAAATGGTCTTGAAGTGAAAAATATTTGTCACTTTACATAAATTAAACCATGTTTTTAGCAAAGGAAAAGCAAAAGATTGAATCCCGCAGTCTAACTGATGCAGTCTTACCTTGTCCAAAATTAGCCAGGAGACGGCAGCATAATAAAAATAAATCGCGGGTCTCCTTGTCCTTCAGCAGGAGTCGGTGTCCCTCATCCTGCGGCTCGTGGAGATCCCTCGGCGAGGGGGTTAAACATTAACGGGGATTGTTTTCAGTTCAACTTCCCTCCGACTCCCCGCAGTGTTTAGCATATTTATCCTGCAGCAAAGCTCTCTCCCTGCCTTCAGAGACGTCCTTTGCTTCGCAGTAATGAGAGAAAACTTCTCATCCCTGCTGAAATCAGCCGTGCAGGGCTGGGGAGGACATCGCTGACGATTCCAAAGAATTGCTTTGCCCCAGAGCCTTTAACCCCCGCACCTCACCGAGCATGTGGATGGAGAACTGGGAACCAGCCTCCTCCTCCTCCCCCAAGTCCTTAACTCTTTGCCTGCTGAAACTTTCCAGTTTGTAGCAAATAACTACAGCTGGGAGCTGCCTCTGGGTATTTAAACTGGAAGCTTAAATGAAAGGTCTCCGTCACCAACTGAATGTTTGCCTTTACTGCCCGTATAAAGGTTCTTACAGGTTTTAATAAACCTTCTTAAAGGTTTAAATAAGTGACGAGTTGGCGGCTTGGATTTACTGGAATTAGGAAGCTTTGGGGTTCTAGAAACAAGTGAGAAGGATGGTGTGTTTTGGACACGTTTTGATAAAAATAGCGCGTTGGTCAGAAATAAATAGGAAACCTCAAAGTAAATTAAGTCACAGCTGCAGGTATGGCAGGTGCAAAATAATCATTGACTTCCACAGAAGCTTTTTAAATAGAGGCTTTGGCTTGGACTGCTTTTGTGGTAGATGCTGCAACTCCTGAGTGAAAGCTCCCATTCTGTGAGTTAGTTTGTAGGAGACTTTCCACTCGTCCCAAATTGTCCTTTACCCTCTGACCTGTTGTTTGTCTGGGTGGGACAGCAGTGTCGAAAGTTATGTTCAACAAATCTTACACTACTGATCTTTTAATGGATAAACCTCTGGAAAACTCTCTCTCTCAGGACATGTTTTAGTTAACTGTGATAAGAGACGATAATCTTTAATACGTCAGTTTGTGTGGCTGGGAGATGAACAGTGATATGGTCTGTGGATGTTCAATCTCTGTGTTTGTTCAGTCCTCAATACCTGCCCTGTTTAATGAGTAATTTCGCTATTTCTTTTTCTAGTTAAACAGATTATATTTATGCCAAAGCTAATATACCTGTTACAGCTCATAATACCTCCATTGCTCTAATTATTTCAAATTTTGGGGGATGGATTTGGTTTGGTTTTTTGAGGAGTTGATTTGTGTGTGTATATGTTTGTATGTACATGTGGGCTATGTACACTTGCACGTATAGGGTGCATAAATTTATGAGTGTGAGACTTTGAAGACTGATCATATCTTCACCTCTTTAAATAATTCCTTGATGCAATGGTGTTAAGCCATTTAGATATAAAACGTTTTGAACATGCTTTTATAATTGAACCCCACAAGGGCTTTTGGACCAAAATCACACTGCTTGTGCAGCTTCTCCCTCCTCCTTGACATCCCACTCTTCAATTACAGATTAAATCTTGGATTTGGATCTGCAAACTGCTCTTCTAATGCTTTGTCCATTGCAGAATAGTTTAGAAGTTCAGTCTCATTTAGGAATGTCTTCTATTCAAGGTGCTAAGAACTACAGCAAGTACCTTTGTAGGTGTTTAAAGTCCCGAGATAAACAAGGTACAGCAAGGGAGAACCTGTGATATTATAAAACAAAGCTCTGCCCCAAAAGACCTTAATTAATCTGAAGGAACAGTCCTTCTGGATTTGCAAAACTGAAATTTCTTTCTGCTTTTTGTCTCATTATCAAAATGTCAAGATAAAAAAATCTTTCCTTTTTTTGCATGAAGAGATAGTGAGCTTTTTACAAAATCAGAATTAAAGCTTTGCACCCAACAGAACTGACATTTGATGCCCTGTATGATGCAACAGCAAATAGTCCCTACAGGAGTTAGTGGATGGTTCTGTGCCTATAACTTGCTGTTCTTCAAGTATGTTTGGAAGGGGATGGTCTCTGTGATATAGTCCAACTGTTGTCATGGCAAAAAATACCTGTTTCAGGGAATGGAAAGAACACACTGTCTATATTTCCCTGTTTCTTGTAAATACTTTTCATTTTTGAACAATTCCACCTGTGTTTTCCAGATGGGAACCTGGATTCGCTTGCTCTTTCAAAATGCTACATTTATTGAAAGTGGAGTCCTAGTGACAGAATGTGCTTTTTAAATGCTGTATGAGGAAACACCCCACAAAAAATAAATGTGTGGGCCTTCTTTAGAATCAAATCAGCTGCCAGTTGCTCCTGCCTCAATATGAAGACTGTCTTGATTTTGTAGACATCTCCCTCTCAAGTGTCTGAGATCATTCAAGGCTGGTGTTTCTAACACTGGCTCATTGAGTAGGAATGGAAAAATTTGGGCTACTTACCCGTTTCTTGTGTTTGACTTATTATTCTGCCTGATTTACTTACTCTGCCTCTCTCTAACCCTTGTTTCTCCTTCATAATCTCTGACCACTTGTGTACAGGTTCAGTTTTTAAACTGTGCTCAGCACGTGAGCACACTGTGGACAAAGTACTGCCCATATGTCCTTTCATTTGTTTAATTCCTACTGCAAATACATGAGTAACCTTTCTAAACCTTTGTTCAGAAAACAGAAGAGTAATGACAGAGGCAGGATTATAAACTAATCTTGCAGATTAACAGAAAGCTTCTGGATTTAACAAAATAACAAAAAAACCCACCCCAAAACAACCTACCAAACAAAAAAGCCAGCAAAAAAAAAATAAAAGGAAATTGAGATCTTAGAAAAGAAAACATCGTAGTCAAATGTGCTGGTGCACCAAATGATTGAAAATGTGCACAGTGAAACATCTGTGTTTTCAACCATGAAACAAATATGGAATCACACGAAGCACATTGCATCCATTATCCAGATTAATTTCTGAAAATACTTTGAAACTTGGGAGTGTTTGATGATTCAGATGAAGGACAGTGAGACAGCAAGGCAAGGTGAATGAATTTTTCTGCTTTTATGACCTCTTTTTATCCCTATAGTAATATACTAATAATATTGTTGTTGTTTTGTTGTTGCTGTTGTTGTTATTGTTTATTTATTTATTTAAAAGAAGGCCTTCAAGTTGCCTGGTGCTGTCAGTTCTACATGTAGAGGAATAACACTTTGGGTGTTGTCCCTACTCAGTGTAAAGGAACTGCTCCTGTCAGTTGTTGTTTCTCGTATCACTGAGTTGAAAGACAAATTCTAAAGCAGAATTGGTTAGATCTTAATCAAATGCTTTCATAACTAAAAATCAGAAAGTGCTTCTGAGTTTTAGCTGTGGGGTTCAGAACCTTGAGTAGATTCTACTTAGAACTACTTTGTTTAAGTACATTTATGCCAGTAAAACAATCCGTGAACAGAAAATACCCCGTGGGACTCTTTTTAATGAAAAAAAAATAATTAGTTCAGGGTGTT